CCTCGGGCGCGGAGGAAACCGACAAGGGGTATTCAGTAAAAATGTACATCTCCCTTCGGCGAGACCGCCTGCTTGCCCGCCACCAATGGCGCGAGAGACCTGCGGAAGCGGGGTGCGGGGCCCTCCCCGGGGGCCCGCTCTGCCCACGGAAGCGTCAGCTGGCGGTCCCGGGGGGGGCCCGTCGAGGCCCCGGGGAGCTTGATGTTTTTGTGCCATGGCTTTCGTTAGGGGGCCACATGCGAACCCTACCCCTGCCCCCCACGATTTCAGAGGGGGAGGGTGGGGTTCACTTCGCTCGAGAGCGAGCTTGATGTTTTTGTGCCGTGGCTTTCGTCGTGAAGCCCGGAGATGGAGAGGAAACTCCACGACCCGTTTCCCTTAGGACCCGCTTGCTGCATGGCGACGGCGGCAGCCGAAGCGCTGGGAAAACCGCGGCTCGGGTGTGGACGGAAGTGCCCCTGGACCAAGGCGTCCGTCCCGCAGCCTCCAGAGCTTTGAGCCGGAGTAGTGGGTCTGGCGCAGATGGGTCCGCTGATGCCTGGCCGCCACAGCTTGCGCGCTGGATGCAAGAGATGCGAGTGGATGCAACTCACATGCAATTGATGTTGCCCGTGGCCAGTTTCTGCCCCCACGCACTAGTGGCGTACCATCGCAAACAACAGCACACAAGTCACGAGCGATTGCACCTCTCGCCACCGAGTTGTCTTCGCCAGACCCACTACTCCAGCGCAAAACAGCTCGAGTAAGGGACCGACTACATAATTTATTTACTCCAATCTGGATTTTCCGTCGGATCCACGAACGACTGCGTATAATTCTTCGTAGACCTACGCGGCGTATTCTGCGTGTTTCTCCCAGACTCGACGGAACAAATCCTGGGGAAAATTACTTCTGTAGTCGACCCCCTGCTCGGAGAGCACCCCACGCGCGGCCCAGAGGGCCCCATGGGGGTTCGGAAACGGCGCCGTCGTCGTGGACGTCGTCATGGACGTCGTCGTCGTCGTCGTCGTCGTCGTAGATGTCGTCGTTGTCGTCGTCGTGGTGGTGGTGGTCGTCGTCGTCGTCGTAGACAACGTTGTCGACGTGGACATCATCGTCGTCGTCGTGGTCGTCGTCGTCGTCGTGGACGTCGTCGTCGTCGTCGTCGTGGACGTCGTCGTCGTCGTCGACGTCGTCGTGGTCGCCGTCGTTGTCGTGGACGTCGCCGTCATGGACGTCGTCGTCGTCGTCATGGATAAAATGTGGCGCGCCGCCAAGGGGGAGCTCGCCGCAGCCGCCAAGGCTATCCAGGAGGCCGCCGCCAGGGCCTCTCTGGCCTTCAGCGAACTGCCCCCCGCGCCTGCCGAAACACAGTTTCATGCGTGGGCCAAGGGTGTCCTCCGCCGCCCCATCCCAGAGGATGCTGACGGTCGTCAGCGGCACGAAAGCCACGAGATAAAGTTCGAACGCGTGGTCCTATATTTGGTGAGCTATGCCTGAAAAGGGCAATACCAGGGGAAATTCTGATGGAGGCTCGTAGCGATACTGACGTGCAAATCGTTCGTCATACTTGGGTATCGGGGCGGAAGACTAATCGAACCATCTGGTTCCCTCCGGAGTTTCCTTAATGATAGCTAGAGTTGAACAGTCTTTTCAGACAATGCGAACGAGTAGAGGAATCGGGGGCTCGTTGTTCTCGGCCTATTCTCACATTTGTAGTGGGTACGATCCATTGGTTACTTGGGCTCCCTCCTCTTCCTCCTCCACCTCTTCCGATAGGAGGAATTCTTTCATGCGCCCCCAACTGCTTATAACCTTCCCGAGCCAGTGCTGCCAGCAATTATCTGCAGGATGGACTCCTTCTGGGCCCTGTGAGCCCTCTGGGCACTCTGATCCCCAAGGCCCCTGTGAGCCCTGGGAAGCGTGAGCCCTCAGGGCCCTGCGAACCCCGCCTGATGTTTCTGGATTTCTGCCCCTCCCCCCGAAAGGTTCTTCAAGATTGCTCGAAGCTCTTTTGAGATTTGCCAGGGTCCTCCTCGAGATTCCCACGGGTTCCTCTGTATTCCAGCAGTTCGGAGGGCGACAAGGGGCGGGGAGGAGAGGGCTCGAGAAAAGGGGGAGGCAAAGGATGGCTGCCTCAGAGACAGGTCGAGGACGAGGGCGCCGCGGTGCTCCTCAGAGGGAGGGCCTCCGTGAAGCAACCAGGGCAGCTCTCCCCATGGCTGCGGTGCTGGCTGATTTGCGATGCGATGCTTTGGCTGCCGCGATTAAGCACACTGCGAACTCTCATGCTTGACCGAGCGGAACAAGACAGACAAGCCTGCGCGCCAGCGGTCTAGCTCTTAGGCCCAGCCCGGGCGACAGCGCCCCTCGAGTCATTCAAAAAATGCGATGGGTGGCGCATGACCGCCCTGTGCCAGCGGGCGCCCAGGCTGTACAGTTTGGCCGCTGTAGCAGTGCGCATGCAAAGTGCACTGGCCTGACGGCAGGGAGCGGGGAGGAGGAGGGGAAGGAGGAGGAGGAGGAGGAGGATGAGGAGGAGGAGGAGGAGGACCATTGTAAGTCCAAGAGTCATCAACGATGTTGGAATTAACCCTCCCTCCAAGCCCCCCCTGCATAGGCCCCTACAACGGTTCATTTCCATTTGGGGGACTGCCTCGTTGGAAGACAACCGTTTGAAGACCCTGAACCATGCCAAAACATTCTTCTCGGGATTTGAACGCCACGGATCAACCTGATTGCTGCGTTTTGACGACCAGAATCGTGCCAGAACGCCTTTTCTGGGACTTCAACACCGCGAATCAACATAACTGTTGGACGCGCATAATCTCGAATCCTTCCACAACACTATCTCGGGTACGTTGATCAGGGGGGTCCGTGAAAGTCTTGCAAATTTGAAAATATGTGCGCGGCACTGAAGCGCGAACCACATTTCGAAGACGAACCGCCCTCAATCCGTGAAGCTTTTGCAAATTTGTTCAAACGGATGTGCGCGGCGCTAAAGCGAGAACCGCATTTTGAAGACGGACCGCCCTCAATCCGTGAGTCTCTTGCAATTTGCTTAAGCGGATGTGCGCGGAGCTAAAGCGAGAAATACATTTTGAAAACGACCCGCCCTCAATCCGTGACACCCTTGCAAGTGTTCAAAACGAGTGTGCGCGGCGCTAAGGCGAGAACCACATTTTGAAAATAAACCGCCCTCAATCCGTGAAGTTCTTGCAACATTCAAAACGACTGTGCGCGGCGCTCAAGCGAGAACCACATTTTGAAAACGACCCGCCCTCAATCCGTGAACCTCTTGCAAATGTTCAAAACGAATGTGCGCGGAGCTAAAGCGAGAAAAACATGCTGAAACCGATCCGCCCTCAATCCGTGAAGATTTAATAAATTGTTGAAACGAATGCGTGCTGCGCTAAGGCGAGAACCGCATTTTGAAACGGAGCAGCCCTGAATCCGTGAAGCTATTGCAACTTTTAAAACGAATGTGCGCGGCGCAAAAGCGAGATCCACATTTTGAAGACGACCCGCCCTCCATCTGTGAAATGGCAGCCATTTTTTTCGCTTCATATAAACATGGTGAGGAAGTCTCAGGCGGAACGCCTGGTCCCCACGAGCAACTTGCCTCGGGGTGCGACAGGGAGAAACTATTCATAAGGAAAAGGAACCTGGGGGAAGGAAGAGGAGGACGAGGAGGAGGAGGGAGGAGGACAAGCTAGGAGCGCTCGCGTCATATCTGACGTCCTACCCCTCCCTCCCATCCCTTACTGGGGATGTGATAGAAGTTGTGCTTCCACGGTGCTAATCCGTCACTCCTCCGAGTCTGAACCCAGGCCGTGGTCCAGACTCACACACCGTTCGGCTCCGCTTTCGGGTCTGAAACGAGGCCGTAGCCCAGACTCGGACTCCATTCGTCACGCCGTTCGTCGTTGTTCCCTTGAATCGGCGTTGAGTAAAATCGTACCCTCCAAAGTAACATGTTATCACGTTTATTTGTGCGTTCAGGAGCGTTGTTATGATATATGTACGGTTTGGTGTTGTGTTTTTGATGTTGGCAACACAAAAAAAACAACCCGCGCAGGCACACGCTTTTGAACGTTCGAGCGCCCGCCCCCTCTCCGCTTTGCCCACAAAAGGAAAAAACGAGGACGCGCGGGGGAACATCACAAAGAGCAAGACAACCCGAAGAGGTTTCCAAACGGCCCCTGAAGAGGTTCCCAAGAGGCCCCTAGATCCCCATATCCTTCCCAAGGAGCCCCCAATGAGGCCGCCTAGAGGCTTCCGAATGTAATTTCGCATGCGTCCGAGGGGCCTCACATCCAACCCAGGCACGGTGTGGCGGGCTTCGCCGAACGCCATGAGATAGTTGCTAAGATCGTCGGAGCCGCGCGAACCACTCGGATTATGACCAGCAAGGCGACGATCCCGAACAGAAAATGAATGGACGAGGATGGGGTCAGAATGGGGGGGAAAGACATCAGCAGGAGGATTCGACTTGCACGACCACCCCTCGAGCAGCTCATTGAATTCTATGTCATAGCTCGTGCCCCCTGTGACGCACGAGCCTGTCAGCACAGGCTCAACCCAACGCGTCAATCGGGAGAGCCTTTGAGGCTAGCGCGCCCCTCGCGCCGCCTGGACGGCACACGTTGAGAAGGAAATATTAGCTATGTCTTTCGTTCCTTCCTCCTCCTGTTCCTCCTCCTCCTCCTCTTCCTCTACCTCTCGTTTTTCCTCATTCTCCTTCAATTCATTTTGAGCGTGGCTCCCTATCATCCTAAAACTCCTTCTCCTCTCGGTCCTCGTCGTCGTCCTCAGGTCTTCCTCCTCTTCCTCCTCTTCCTCCTCCTTGATTTCCTTCTCTTGTGACCTGTGGCTTGCGGCTCGCGGGCCAAACGCCCGCGCGCCGTCAGCCGAAGATGTGGGATGCGTTCTTGGCTGCATCAGGCGAAGAGCCGCCGCCTCCGCTCCCCTGCGCTCGAGCGCCACTCGCACTCGTGCTGAGCTCGTGAGCCTGGGCGGGCCTGTTGAAATCCACCGCGGTGGTCTTGGCCAGCGCCGCCGGCGCATCCGCAACAGCGAGATATGGAACGCTGACTTCAATGTTGCCGTGGCGTGTCCGAGCTGAAACTCTGTCGAAGCCTATGATCGTGTTCGCCGCTGCACCCTTGTTGACCTTGGCAAACCATGCTGGCACTGCAGCGGCGCTGCGAAGGCCTGCCGCTGGTTGAAGCGGCACAACGCACAAGTGGAACACCACGCCATCAAGGATAACCTTCGTCAGTGTGTCAATGAACGGCTTCTTGATATCATCCAAGAGTGCGCGTGAACACGAACATTCCCGTGAAGAACAGCTTGATCCCAATCGGCTCCGAGGGAATTATCTTCATGAACAGTTTGGCAGTCAATGAAGAACCTTTTACCGCGGCCTCGGTACTCATGATGAGCGACGTCCCCCGATCCTCAACAGCGTCGCCCAAGGAAGAAATGAAACGCGAAATGTCGAACGATACCTGCTGGGCTTTTACCAACGTTGGTCTGTGTGGGGCGAGGCGTGATAGGCTGAATATGCCAATGTACGTTTTCGAGTCAATCTCCAAGGGTTCCATGATCGAAAGCGCATCGCCGATCTTCCTCATATCGACAGCTGGACCGCATTCGACAAGAGCACCCTCGCCTTTCTCATCCACACTCTCGCTCTTCACCTTCGTGGCGTCGGCCTCAAGAGGAGCCCCATTCTTCTCGAGGTACTTCTTCTCCACAGCGGTCAAAAACGCCTGGGCAGCAGCTTTGTCCGCTTCTCGCGCAACTCTCTCACGCAGCCCAAGCAATTGTCCACGCGAGGCGTCGATCTGCATGGCATTCACGTCGGAGTCGTCAAAGTTGTCTGGGTCGGAACTTTCAGCCTTCACACATGAAATCAGATTCGCCTTGCTCATGCTCTTCATCTTGTGCTTCTCGGTGGTTTCCCACACTTTCCAAGCGTTCTCTGATTTGGCAGTGACGAAAGCGTCGGATGAATTAGCGACCTCGAACGTGATCTTCCAGAACTTACCGACGGCCTCGTCGTCGCAGTCGAGCTCGCGCTGCAACGGGCAGTCTGTGAAGTTCTTCAAGAAATCAATTCCTTTGCAGAAGTATTCATAAGATGGCGTTGCGGTTGTTGAGAGCTTCCCAGACGCCTCGACGGTCAGCAGCAGCATGCTCACGTTGGCGAACCGAGACATGTGCGTCGCCCTCACGTTGTCGTTTGTCGGCCAGACGTCCCCAAGCTGCTCCAGTTTGTCATCCACTACCTCGGAGGGAGAAAGTGAAGAAAGAGGGAAGCAAGGACGAGGAGGAGGAGAAAATACCTTCATCATAGTACGAACGTCCCCAATCTTCTCGCCGATCTTCTTCTTCAGCTCCTGCACGTCGTTCACCGCGACGTCCATCTCGATGATTGCCCTGGCAACCTTGAAGACATTCATGGGGGGGTTCTTCATGACGAGCTCCAGCAAAACATCGATAAGGTTATTGGTAAACCAGGCGGTGGTGCCACTTGAAGTATCTGCTGTTGGACTGACCGTCGAGCTGCCTACGATCAGAGGGTTCTTGAGGTCACACAGCAAAGCGCCCTTCGCCCTCACAGAACGAACGTGCAAAGACAAAATGTCCGTGTCGATAGAGGCAGGATTATCAGCCATGCGATTATGCAAAGAAGTAATAGCAGCAACATTGCCGCCGAGGGAAGTCATGATGTCCTTGACGAGGTGCCGGCACGCCTTGTGGACATCGGTAAACTCGGAGTCCATTGCTTGCGAAACAAACGGAGCTGGACCAGACATGGTCTCCTTCTGCGGTACTGCTGTCTCACGGCCTCCAGCTACTTCAGCGTCCTCGGGTTCGTCCTCGACTACAACAGCCTCAGGCTCACGATCCTCCAAATTGAAGCGCAACTGGATGGCTTTCTCAACGTCGCGACGCAGTTTCACCCAGCTTTTATAGTTCACCTCCTTCTCTCCAGAAGCCGTGAGAGCCACAGAAGATTCGGAGTGCGTCTTCATGCCAAAGCGAACGCAAGCGCGGTACATCTTCATGATGAAGTCGTGGTCGAGGTCCTCGGCCGGCACTGGGCGGATAGCATTGCTGATCGCATTGTGGATGTCGTCGCCGAACCTCGTCCTCGTCTTCGCATCAGGCACGTTCTCGTTCGACTGCTTGGACTGCTTGCTCTGACCCATGTCCAAGTGGAACTGACGCAGGCGTGACTTGACATCAGCGGCTGTAACAAGTACCCAGTCCTGGTGATCATCTCGCGGTGCTGCGTGAGCGAACATGGCAACGAGTACTTCGTTGGAAAAGTTTGGCAATGTCTTGTGTGAGGCTTCCTTCTGGATGGTCTCGAGCACGATGAAGACTTTGTCTGAGTCCATCTTCGTGTTCTCGAAGCTCACGTGCTCCCCCCAGTCATCGACGAGCTGCGGCCAGAAGCCCTCGATGCTCTCAGCCCACTTCCTGAACTTCATTGCCCTTGTGTACTGCGTATAACCAGCGAAGTACTCTTTGAAATGCTTCTGGATGAAATTACCGAACTTCTTCTCGTAACCACCTGCTTCTTCGGGCCCGTCATCTTCATCGTCGGCAGCTGCAGCCGCGGCAGCTGGAGCACCTTCGTCGCCAATTGCCCTTCTCTTGCTTGCAGGGCCCCCTCCTCCTCTGAGAGCTCTCTTCTTGCGGGAACCCAACCAACTCTCATGGATCACAGGTGTTATGTTCAAGCGCTCCACGAAGCTTGTCTCCGCGCCGAGCCTCACCAGCCTATTGCACTGAAGGGCTATCCACACTTGAGCGCCAGGAGGAGTCTTGGGATTTAGAATGACAGCGCGGACCACCATGTCCTTGAGCATCTGCACGACTTGAGGGTTCTGAGGGTGCGTCTTGATGATGTCATAGCAAGCCTCCATTAATGTGGCTGCGCCGAGTTGGAAGAGAGTCCAGCGACTTGGATCAAGACCGTCTGGCATGCATACCACGTCGCCAGCGCGGTCCGACCAGACAACACCAAATTCCAATGCAAGCCTTGCATAGTAGCGCCGCGTGGCTGATTGCTTTCTCGCATTCATCTTCGCCCTCTTGAAAACTGGTTGACCCTTGAGCGGGCCTGAAGTGTGAAAGAACGGGACCTTGTCGTTGAAGGGCAGTCTGTGATCGTTATCGAAGATGGCCCGGAGCACAGCGCCTTGAGCATGGGGATGCCGTGATTCGTACGTGGAGTAGCCCGTGCTGAAAGCTGAATTGTCCTTGTCTTCTGACGACCCTTGACGAGCTGCATTCGCCAAAGACTGGTAGACTCCAGCATATGTCGCCCAATGTTGTTCGTGCCCAGCCGTATCAGTCGCAGGCGTGGAGTCGCCAGTGCTCTGTTCGCCTGCGGACCGCAGAAGGGAGGAAACAGGCCCTTCATCCTACTTCTCCTGATCCCCTTGCTCTTTCCCCTCCCCCTCCTCCTCCTCCTGCTCCTCCTTCTGCCACTCTTCTTCTTCCCCCTACAGCATCGGGGGATTTTTTTTGCTGATTGTCGTTTCAACTCTCGCGCGCTGCCTCAGTCAGCTCCTTCCGGCCCCGCCCATTCTTCCTACTTCTCTGATCCGGGGCCCTAGCCGCAGGACCTGCAGGACCCCTGAAGGCTTCCCGGGCTCAACGTATCTCATGGAGTTTTTTCTTATATTATTTTTTATTAATATATACATTTATATGTATATATATATAGTAAAAAAAATAAACAACAAGGCCCAGTTGATTTTGTTTGCTCCCTTGTTCTCCTCAAAGAGCCCAGGGCCGCTTTGTGCACGTGATATCTGCGCCAGGGCAGCTTAATGCAAGGTCAGCTTGGCGCAAGGCCCCTGCCCGCATGGAACCCTCAGGAGACCCCTGGGGCCCTGAGGACGAGAAGTTGCTCGCCGCCGCCGCCGTGGTAAGGCCAGGGATGCAAGGCCTCGTCGTCGTCGTGAGTCGTCGCCGCCTCATCTTCCTTCGCCTCCCCCTTGAAGCGCCTTGGAGGTTGGATGAGGATTTCTCTGGCCTCTTGTGGACCTTCGGGCCTCTTGGGTGCTTCTCGGTTGCCTCTTGGTGCCTATCTAGCTTCGTTGACCCCCGTGGGGTCGTCCGTCTTGGGGGGGGGCATCTTGGAAAGTCCTGGAACGGTACACTTGCTGATGATGATGATGGCGATGACAATGATTGTTGCTCTGATTTACCTGTCAGGCTAACGCACTCGCTGAACACTGAGCTTGCAATGGTGTCTGCACGATGTCACCCCAGACTAAGGCGTGGCATATCACACGCGAGCAAGCTCGCTGCATTCAAACAGCCGCGCTCACAAGCTATCCCGAGGCCGCTTAAGCGAACGGAGCTTCCGATAGATGCGTGCAATGTGGTCTGAGTCTTCTACAGAGAGAAGAGACCTCGGCGGCTGCAGACGAGGCATCGCAGCTGCTATGGCGGGCCCTGATGTCGCAGGCACCACTGTGAAACCAGCGCCTCCCGCATTATCTGGGTGAAGGCGAGCATCGAGGATCCATGGATCCAGCCACAAAGCAGAACGCAGAACTGAGCTCACAGAGCAGATGTGCATGCCATTCCCAATTTGATGCATACTTGAACCTGGTCCTGCTTGCAGGCGCGCGGGAATAGCCGCGACTGAATATGCTCTCCACTCCGTGGATCTGAGATAAGCTTGGCAGAACAGGAAAGCCCATTGACAATGCGAGCTCTACTGGGGCAAGCCGCCTGCCAATATCGCTTCGCCATGATAACCCCATTGACCTCTTCAATGTGTGCAAAGGACCGTGCAAAGACGAGTATACGGGTTGTTTACTGGATTGCGCGAGGTCCCAACAACATCCTCCTGTGCGAAACCTGCGACGAGCATGCTCTAGATGCTTCCTCTCGGACGGCCCCAAGAGGCGTTCCCATGAATCCGGTGGATCGCCCCAAGCATCATGTTCCCTGAAACGTTTCAGGAAACCTGGTCTTGTTTGTGCCCATTCCTGTTCATCCACCAACTCTCCATCTGTAGCTATGCAATACTCACGCGCACTGTACGTCGCCTCGCGAGTAAATCGCATATCAACCAGGTTCGTCAAGCAGATTGTCCTGGCAGGCACGTTCAGACCTTTGAGCTTACCATTGATGTACTGTCGCGGCCTCCTGCTTTGGAAACCTTGCTTGTCAGGATTTGTCGCGACCCTGGTAAGGTAGTAGAGGTCACCCAAGGCTCGATCATACTCATCACGCCCCTGCTGCGTCACGCATTTGAAAAACACTTCTGGCTCTAACAAGTCACGGCGCTGCCTGAGAGTAGTCCACAGCACGTGCGCGCCAAGTCCGAGTAGCTTTTCACAGCGCCCGAACATGGAGTCGTGAACGCACGGAACACCAGTGCAGTGGATGTGGCACCGACGAATTTTACACATTTTATTGCAGCAGACGCACTTTGCATAAGGGACAGTTGGGCGGCTCATGATCAGTTCCCGGCGGCTGTCGACATCTTCTTTCGGCAATCGTGCAAGAGCTTGTCGAACTTCTGGGTCCAAGAACTGAAGGACATCTCGATATAAGTGTCTCGGTTTGGAACGACTTGGAAGCGCCAACAGCTCTGCGCAACATTTTCTATCCTTTTCAACTGCCCACATTGACCCGAAACGTATGTTGAATCGATGACCAATCCCCTGTGCTGCAAGCTCGAAACAGCCAATTCCTGAACATCCGCTGCTAAGTTCTATGACGTTCTCGCTTCGGCGACTATCGGATCAGCGGGTGATGAGCGGGCAATCAACGGACAACTTGCTCGCGGTGTCGATAGCATGGTCCAAATATTTGAACGAATCTACAACATCAATACACTTTCGAACAGCGCGATTGCCACCCAGCATGCCAAACTAGAGCCCCAAAAGGGCTACATAGTTGATGGTGAATGATCATGGAAATGCTCACTCTTGGGCATCAAAGGGTCTGAACCCAAAGAGTCTTGACCTCCAACCCTGCCAGGGTCCTAGCCCCAAAGGGATTGACATCCACTCTGGACTCCCAGAGTCTGGGCCCCCAGCTGAATCCCCTACCCTCAGAGTCTGGACCCCCAGAGTCTGGACCCCCAGAGCCTGGACCCCCAGAGTCTGATCTCCCAGAGTCTGATCTCCCAGAGTCTGGACCCTCAGAGTCTGGACCCCCAGAGTCTCGACCCCCAGAGTCTGGGCCCCCAGAGTCTGGACCCCCAGAGTCTGGACCCCCAGAGTCTGGACCCCCAGAGTCTGACCTCCCAGAGTCTGGACCCTCAGAGTCTGGACCCCCAGAGCCTGGACCCCAAGAATCTGGACCCCCAGAGTCTGGACCCTCAGAATCTGGACTCCCAGAGTCTGGACCATCAGAGTCTGGGCCCCCAGAGTCTGGCCCCCCAGAGTCTGGACCTCCAGAGTCTGGACCCCCAGAGTCTGGACCCCCAGAGTCTGGACCCCCAGAGTCTGGACCCCCAGAGTCTGGACCCTCAGAGTCTGACCCCCCAGAGTCTGGCCCCCCAGAGTCTGCCCCCCCAGAGTCTGGACCCCCAGAGTCTGGACCCCCAGAGTCTGGACCCCCAGAGTCTGACACCCCAGAGTCTGGACCCCCAGAGTCTGACCTCCCAGAGTCTGGACCTCCAGAGTCTCAACCGACAGGGCCCCCAGAGTCTGGACCCTCAGAGTCTGGACCCCCAGAGTCTGGACCCCCAGAGTCTGGACCCTCAGAGTCTGACCTCCCAGAGTCTGGACCCCCAGAGTCTGGACCCCCAGAGTGTCTGACCTCCCAGAGTCTGGACCCCTAGAGTATGGACCCTCCCAGTCGTAACTCCTGGGCTCGTTGGGTGTTTTGGAGGGTATGTTGGTGGTATATTTGTGCTTATTTGGCGTTTCTGATCATATTTTGAATAGTCACATGGGTCCCTGACATGCGGCTGTGGGTCGTGTTTTAGCTTTCTGGAGCCTCTCAGGGAATCTGAAATGGTCATATTGGGTGTCTGCGTTACCCTTCTTGGGATCTAATTGAGGCGTCTTAGAGGCTTCGTTGGAATGAGTTCGGGCATCGCTTGAGCCTCAAACAGGTGTATATTTCGCGTTTGATGACGACTTGTGGAGACCGTTCAGTGGCTTATTGGTTGCCTCTTAAGTCTTCATGCGGCTATGCGTTGCATCTAAATTCCTCGCCAGGCTTGATTACAACAACAAAGTCGACACGATTTTGTCACGAAACATATTTCGCGTCGTGTCTGTATGGGTTATCTTCTAGACCGATGTGATGTTTCTCGGAACAAGGTAAGGGCCGATTGGGGTCCTTTGTGGTGCCTGTGAGAGGCTGCTAAGAGGCCGCTGTGGAGTCTCTTAGGGGTATGCCTTGGGCCGTCGTGGGCCGTTCATGCCCCGCTTCAGGCGTCTAGCACGTCTCAGACAAAGTATTTTCCATCCGACTGTTCCTCCTCATCGTCTATCTCATGCTAGCACCGGGGACCCGGGGTCGCCTTCATCCACGTCGGTGACGATCACCATTCCGTCGAAGTCGCGGCCCGGCTGTGGCTGGAGCGGCCCTCGCTGGCCGAATAGCTCGGGCCACGAGGAGCAGCAGGGTAGGGGGGATCGGGAGGAAGGCTTCAACACAGCTACAGTCAATCCGTATAGTAAGGATGCACGGCAATGATGCGAGGGTTTTAAAGGGGTTCTTTCAATATTTCAAGATGCCAAACCGTTTAATCAATTGGCGGAATGCAACATGTATATACCTGTATGGATGCAACAGTAGCTTTGGAGCAGTCGGACATTCTTACTATGCGGATTGATTTCGCTGCATGGGCTGAGACATCTTCACTGTGTAACTGCTTGATACGTGTGCAACCACGCCTACGAGACAGCCTGTCAGAGCCCAAACACCGTCAAGAGGCCTCCAAGGGGACCGACACCCAGATAAATCAGTGATCTATTTATTTCAGGCTCATGGCCCCTTGAGCCCAGGAGGGCCCTTGCCCGCGCGGAGTCCTCAGGAGTCCTTCAGGGGCCCTGCCCTGTCTCACGTGAGCCATCTGAGGCTCGCATGGCCCCTTGAGCCCAGGAGGGCCCTTGCCCACGTGGAGCCCTCAGGAGTCCTTTAGGGGCCCTGAGAGGCCCAGGCCCTGTTTCATGCGAGCCATCTGAGGCTCGCACGGCCCCTTGAGCCCAGGAGGGCCCTTGCCCACATGGAGCCCTCAGGAGTCCTTTAGGGGCCCTGAGAGGCCCAGGCCCTGTCTCACGTGAGCCATCTGAGGCTCACGTGGCCCCTTGAGACCAGGAGGGCCCTTGCCCGCATGGAACCCTCAGGGGTCCTTTAGGGGCCCTGAGAGGCCCAGGCCCTGTTTCATGCGAGCCATCT